AAAAAGCTAAAGGAATTGAAGTTTTTAGCACCCCCCCCCAAAAAAAAACAGCTGAGCAAAGAAGCCCAGGCGAGCAGTTTTAAAGCTGGCTTAATAAAACCTCCATGTGCGGAAATAGTCTATCTCTGAAGAGCCGTTCCAGAGGCAAGATGGAAAGCGGGAACTGATGACAAATTAGAGGTTTCTCGTGCTGTACCTCAGTTCCTATCCAGCATAATTTGGGGGAGGTTGCCAAACCAGCCAAAGGGCCGTGCCTTAAGGTTTTCTTTGCAGCACGAGCTTGGGGAACTCATAGCTACTAGAGCCCAGCTAGCTTCTTAAAGAGGACAATAGAAACCACGGAGAGCCCACGTACCACTGAACCCAGGACAGGGGATGCCCCGTGGCACCAAATGATGTCAGCTCCTTGGCTAGGTCTGTATTCCCCCAAGGCTGGCGGGTCCGTGCGTTTTTCCTACTGACGCAAAATCGCAACCCCATTCCGGGGGTCAGAGGACTCCCAGCCCTCAGCACGGTTATTCTAATCATATTCCCAGCATGGTGACCCTCCGATCACAGCAGGACCGTAAGCCGAGTGGGGGCCCTGCTGATCCCTGGAAATGCACCTTAACGTGATGGGAAATGAAAAGATTAAAAATAAGCAGACCGAAGTCACACTTAGCTCTCTTGCGTTTAACCGATTCCTTCAAAGAGAGCTCTCCGAGGGAGAGAAGGACGTCGTGCTGGCTGAGAACTCTGTGGCAGTGAGGGAAAAACAGCCGTCCCCGATGAGTTCCTGCAAGAGCGGAAAATGCAATTAAAAAACTTCGTTCAAAAAAAAAAAAATTGGAATTTGTTTTACAGCCACAGCTTTGCAAGGCAGAATGGGCCCGACCCAAGGTCGCCCTGTTAGCGTTAGCGGATCTGAATTCAGACCTCCCAGATCCAGCCTGATCTTGGAACCTCCCCGTAGGCCACAAAGGTCGCTCCAGATGGTTGCATTACAGCTCCAGCCATCCTCGGCCGGGGGTGATACGATGGGAGCTCAGATCTAAGGTTGCCCCTCCCTCCGTCCTCTCCAGAGACCACATTGTCCATGTGCAAAGATTGGAGAGAGGGCAGAGGATCCACCTGCAGCCTGGGGCATTCAGGCACGTGGATCAACTAGATCCCATGCCCGTCTGCTCTCATGCAGCCAGGAGTTCCAAAGCCCCCCTTGGAAGGGGGTTTCCTTTCGGAGGGTCCTACTACAGAACTGGCTAGAAAAAGCAATAAAATTAGATTTCAAGAGGCGTGATATTGTGCACCGGCGGTAATGGAAGTTGCAGATTCCCGAGCAGCCTGACCTGCGAGGAAGACCCACTGAATCCAGGGCAGCCGGCTTCTGATTGGGAAAGCAGAGGGCTGTACTTGTATGTTAGACTCCTCTTCCAAAGAAAAGACACGGCCTGGGGTGGGGTGCTTTTTAAAATGCTTGTCCCTTTCCCGAATAAGGCACACTTCCCCCCCTCTCCCCACCCCAAGGCACTAGAGTTTATTTCCAAATTCACGTTAAGGTCCTAGCGTCCTTTGGCCAAGTGAGACCAAAATCAAGTCAAACTTTCCAGGTTTTAAGCAAGGGGAAGAGCTTAAAGAATGCCAACGCCGGCCTTTTGCAAAACTTCCGGTGGGATTTTAAAAAGCTACTGCCCGTAGGTAGATTTGGGGCTTTTCCCCCCACAACTCCCCCGTTAGATTTTTTTTTTTAACGCAACGTCCCCATTCCCCCTTTTTCCTCCCTGTCGCCTCCACAAACGCTGGGGCCTGGGAGCAATTCATGTCAAGCTTCGAAACAAACCCTGAAGCATCGCCATCCGGCGCAGGTCGGACGGGGAAGACCAAACACGATGCTCGCAACTCGGGTCCGGGTCACCTCGGCCAGATCCGGGGAGCTGGGCCATGATGCTAATCCGGGTTCCTTCCGAGAGAGGAGGAATCGAGCCGGCTAGGCTGGTTTGTGAGTTAAGGGTCGCCGGTGTGAAAGAGAGGAAGCTTAACACATTTGGCTTGATTTACTCTAGAAATGGGCAAAATAAGCCGGTACGCTCGCTAAAAAAAAAGGAGTGAGGAGGTCCAGAGCAAGCAGCCGCGACTGTTTTCCACTGAACGTGGAAAAGCCACGCTCGTCATGCGCCAACCACGATATTGCGATAGGAGCTGAGTTCCACTAGACCTCATGGCGAGCTCACTGCCCACTTCTGAACCAATCAACAGGACTGAATTTAAAATGCCAATTGAGTGGGTCTGTTCCCAAAACCTCAGGAGCTGCCTCCATTTTAATTACTGTTGAGCGCACTGCACCCCAAAGGTGGCTTAGCCTCGTGGGGGGAAAAGCAGGGCCTGCGACGGCTCTCTTGCACGGATTAAAAGAGCTAAAACCGTCTCCTGAAATTGAAACTTGAGGACAGCATTCATCCCTTGCCACGCCATATCTACGTTATGCGTAGATAACGAAGATTTCCAGGGACTTCGACCGGGCTCGCTTTGGGGGGGAATGGGTCTTGCTTTTGAGTAATTCGCGGGGGATGAGCCAAGTCTAGTCTCTTTGGT